CGGGTGTGGGTGACGCCGTAGATCTCAGCCGCCCGCTTGATGTAGATGTTGAACATGTCGTACTGCTGCGCGGGCTCCACGGCGCGGGTGGCGCGCTCGTACACCGCCATGGCGTGCCGCGCCAGGCCCCACTCCTCCTCCAGCTGCGCGTACAGCAGGTACAGGGCTGCGGGCGCGGAGGGTCAGCCAGCGGCAGGCCCCCCCCCCCCCCCCCGGGGCCCGCCTGGCCTCACTCTTGGCGTATCTGGGAGGGCAGCCGTCCAGGGCCTGCTCAAAGAGGTCCCGCGCCCGCTCCAGCTTGCGGCCCCCGTAGCGGGCGATGAACTTGGTCAGGTAGGTGCTCCAGATGTCAGACACATTGGGCCACTTGAACAGCGAGATGCCGCGCTCGTACGCCTGCCCGAGGGGAGCCGCGTGAGGCCACGGGGAGGCGCCCGGCGCGGCCTGCCGGGGCTCCGTTCCTGCCTCTCCCGGCTGGGCAAGCCGGTCCTTCTCCGTGCACCCCACTCACTCCCTGCACCCCGCCCCCCACGGCAGTCAAGAGGGACTGTGCGCTGCCTGCTCAACTTCAAGGACAACGCCGGCCTCGGGCCCACGGCACAGGGTGACGAGGGCGGGCGCGCTGCAGATGGCAGGTGCCGGCCGAGGGGCGGGCAGCGCTGTGCACGCACACGTCCCGTTTGTAAATGCGCAGCCTCCACACACACCCGGTGGCAGGGCAGTCTCCGCGCACACACGTGAGCGCCCCACACGCCTGTGACGTGTGCTGAGTCGGGGCAGGCGGGCGGGCACACGCCGACACCCCACATACGCGCAGGTGGGAAGGGAGCCCGCTGGGGGCTGCACTCCATCCCCCAAAATTCTCGGTGATGCTTCGCCCCCTACCTCTGACTGTGACGACTCGGAGGTAGGTCCTTTAGGACGGCCCCTACTCCGATACGACTGGCGTCCTTCTCAGGGGAGGACTGACACCCAGGGACACGCGGAGCGAGCAGAGAAACTGCCGTGCGAGGCCACGGTTCGGCGCCCGTCTACCAGCCCAGGAGAGCCCCGGGAGGGCCCACGCGGCCGCCCCAGGTCTGTGCAGCTCAGCGCACGCACTGCCCAGGAGCGCCCGCAGGCGCCGCCACGCCGGCCCTGCCCACCTTGAAGCTCTCCTCGAAGTACTTGTGCTCCTCCAGGAACATGGCGTAGTTGATGACGATCTGCGGGGTGGCGATGCGCAGGTCCAGGATGCGGTCATACACGGCCTTGGTGGACTGCAGGCGGGGGCAACAGGGCATGTGGCCGGGCCAGCTGGCTGCGCCCTGCCCCCCGCACGGCAGCAGCGCCGGTCGCAGCTCACCTGGAAGGTGCCCAGGCTCTCCTCCAGGTCGGCAAGCATGGACCACACCTTCAGGGACTTGTACACCCGGTTCTGCACGGGCTCCGAGCCGTCGAAGTACTCGGCGCGGCGGGCAGGCAGCGCTGTCGCCTTCTGTAGGGAGATGGCGGCGCTGCTGGGGTGCCCCGGCCCTGGCGGAGCCACAGCCCCCCTGGCCTGGCCTGGCGCTCACCCGCAGCAGGCGCAGCGCCTGGTCGTAGTTTTCGTGCCGGAGCTCCAGCTCGCCACACTCACACCAGACACTCGCCAGGTCGTCCACCTGCTTGAAGCTCACCTTGGTGGCCTTCTCCAGGATGACGCGGGCCTGCGGGTGGCCAGGGTCAGGCTGCCAGCCCTGCTCGCACACGCGTGCACGCTCAGACACACGTGGCCGTGTTGGTGCCCCCTGGGTCCATTGACCGCACACACCTGTGCTCACGACACGTCACGCACGCACACACGCACGCACCGCGCAGCACTCACATCGTCCAGCTGCCCATTGTCTTCATAGAACTTGGCAAACGCGACCCACAAGGTGTGGGGCTTGCCCGTCGCCTTGAAGGGGTCCACTGTCTGCACGGCTTCCGTGTAGGTGTTGATGATCTGGGCGGGAAGGGCCAGGTCAGGCACACGGCCAGCCCGGCGCGGGGTGGGGCGGCTGAGGCGGCGGGGCCACCACGCACCTCCCGGGGGCGGCCCTGGTGCAGGGCCACGCGCTTGTGCCACTCGTGCACGTGGTGCGGGTTCTGGCGCAGCAAGACGCTGTTCAGGAGCAGGGGCCGCCGGCCGATGAGCTGCTCGAAGCGGGCCAGGCGCAGCTCCAGGTCCACGTCGTCTGGCGCACAGGAGGCCGGGCGGGCAGGGTTCCGTCACCTCTGTCTGGCAGTTCCCGCCCCGCCTTCGCCACCCCAGGCCCATCCTGATCCCAGGCATGCCCCGAGACCGGCGCCCCTTGGACCGTCCCCAGCCCCGGCACTCACCCCCCAGCCACCCACCCTGTGGCCCGCCAGCCCCACGCTCACCCTCCTCCTCCCGCCCCAGCTCTGAGGTGGTCTCCATCTTAGCTGCGATCATGCTCTCTTCGAACTGGGCGTAGCTGTCAAACACCTGCGTGAAGTCCCGAACCGTCATCACCGTGCGGATGGCCTCCTCGTACACGTCCCGAGCCTGCACAGGTGAGAGCGAGTCTGGGGGAGGCTCGTGGCCCACTGGGGAACGTGGCAGTGCTGCCCTCAGCAGCAGTTCTGAACCCCAACCCCACGGGGCCTTCCCTGGCTCTCCCCTTCCTTGCCCTGCCGGAGGGATCCTGGGGCCGCCGGTTCACCCTCAGTAAACTGAGAGCGATGGCACAGCTCACCCTGAGGCACAGGTGAGAAGTGTGGAAAGCTCCTGACAAGCCCCAACACCAGCCTCCCCAGAGCCACCCTGCAGATCCACTGTGCAGCCTGGCCAGAGGACCTGCTGGTGGCTACCAAACACCCCTAACGCTGGTCGCCCCCCTTCTCCAGCTCACATTCTCCCAGTCCCCAAGTGGGGCCTCGCTTCTCTGCCCATCCCTGACTGGACCTGCACGGCCACACTACTTTCTGCTCACACCTCTCCAGGCCTCCCCCGGGAGCCCACAGACCTTCTCAAAGTGGCCGCTGCGGATGTAGTAGTCGGCCAGGGAGCACCAGAGCTTGCCCAGCTGGTCAGTGAAGCGGGTGAGGCCCCCTCGGATGATGGCATCCACATTCAGTGACTGCACTTTGTCTGGGTTCTGGGAGATGAGGTCGCACAGCTCGTGCCACAACTGCAGGCGCCCAGGAAGAAGTCTCAGACAAGGTCCCCAGGAGATGGGGCACGCACATGGGTCCCCCTACCCCACCCAACGGGCCCACCTGGTAGTTGGATTTGCCGGCTTTGGACACGAAGCGCTCGTCGTTCACCACGGTGGCCAGGCGCTGCGCGGCCTCGTCCAGCCGATCACTCGACTTCAGGTACTCAATGTATTCCTCTGCGCTCTCAGGGCTGAGCTGGGGACCAACCGAACACCAGCGGTAGCTGGGGTGGCAGGGACGCACGACCTCCCCCGTGCAGTGGCTGCAGGCCTCCAGTCATCCACTCACCCCGCTGTGGCCGAAAGCCAGCAGTACTGACCAGTCTTAACCACATCTGTCCAGACCGGGCCCATGGCCCATCCTTGCTCACAGCGATCCAGCCTGGCCCACATGTTCAGCGACAACCGTTTAATAGGTCCAACCTTGACTACAGGGTCTACTCTCGACCCCTGGTCCAACCTCACCCGACTGGCCTGGCTTAGGTTCTGTAACTGAGGCTGCTCAGCTCCAACCCTGCTCTCAACACAACCCAGAGAGCAGCGTGAGAAAGAGGTCACGTCCTGTGACAGACACTGTGTGTCTGCCATGTCTGCACTCACCTCACCCTGTTCGCGCCTCAGCCTTCAACTCTGCCTGTCACGCAGCTTTAGTTGCAGTTTTACTCTGGTTTCCGCGGTCAGCCGCGCACAGCTGCTCCCCTCTCCACCCCCCCTCCCCAGCAATGCTGAGAGTTGCACGCAGGCAACTCTTAGCTACACTAACCACGGCCTGCCTGAGCACCGACATGAAGCAGAGGACTGGCCCGTCCACACAGAAGTGTACCTCTCTCCAGGGGCTCTTCGCCAAACCCCGCCTCTCGGGCGGTGTGCTGTTACGGCGCTAGCGTCTCAACAAGCTGGCTTCTGGAAATGTTGGTGCAGGCCACCTGCCTCACCCACTGACGGACTTACCTTGAGGAAGCGCCGGTAGCCTCGCACAGCTGTCTCAGGCAGAGGGTGTGAGCGCAGGAAGCGCAGGTACAGGGGCCAAATACGAGAGTGCTGTGTGATGGGCAGCGCCCGGAGGGCGCGGTCAAAAGTGCGGCGGGTGTGGGTCACGCGCCCCTGGTCCATCAGGAACTGGCAATAATCCAGCCAGAGTCGTGGCATCTGCAGGTGTGGAGAGGCAGGCAGGTCTGAGGGGCCGACACCGGCCTTGCCACAAAGACAGCCAAGGACGCAGCACAGACGCCCGTTCCTCCGGGCCACGTCTAACTCGACCTTGAGTGGACAGAGGTTCCAGGACCAACCCGCTGCTTCCCCACGTCCTGGACTCTGAGCCCCAACGCCATGTCCCCGGCCAGCTCCCTACCTTGTGCATGAACACAAAGGCCCTCTCGTGGCAGTTGTTGACGTCTTCATAGGCAGGGTCGGTCACACAGCGGTGCTTCACCTGCGCCCGACGTGCCTTCAGGTAGCGGTACCAGAGCTTGTAGCTGGGGAATGGAGGTGGGTCAATACCACCAAGCCCTAGAGCCCTTCCTCTGCCCCAGGAGGCAAGTGCTGGGAGAGGAGATCGCAGATGGGTCACAAGTCTCTGCCACAGGGGCCCGGACAGGGCCGCAGGGAAGAGGTGGTAACCTGTCAGGGGCCGTTTACTTGGTGACCCGACACACGGCTATCACCCAGGACCTGTTCACCTCGCTCTGACTGGGCACGGGGGCATGGCGTGCGGCAAGCAGGCCGCTGGCGCAGTTCCCACCTGCAGGGCAGCAGCTTCAGCGCGCGCTCATACAACTGATTGAGCCTGGGCTTCGGGGCGCCCTGCTTGAACTCAATGTAGCGGAGCCAGCATTTGACGGAGAACTGGTTCCGCATGATTTCCTCCTCATAGGGGAGGTCCTCTTCCTCCTGTGGCGGCGGGAAGCGGGAGAAGGGGCCTCAGGGCCAGGCACGGCGCCACCCAAACCCAGACCCCACGAGCCACCGCTGCGGCCAGTTACCACGTATCCAGAAACCAGGGCTCTGGCCCAGACGTTTACGCCTCGGGGGTCTACAGCCCGCAGTCTGGCCCTTCACCTTGACAACCCTTCTTCACTCAGGCCGCCAAGGCGCCGGTTCACGCACCAGGCCAAACCCTGCCCAGCCTCGTCCGGCACTCACAAGCCGGCTTGGGCCCGTCGGGCCGCGGGCAGACAGAGCCTTAGTCTAGATCTCCCGAGAGGCCACACCCGACACCCTTCGGCATCCGGGCCCCTACGCCCCCAAGTGGGCCACCACCGCCCTGCCGCGGACTCACGAAGACGAGGTCCGACCGCTCGGGCCGCGACAGTCGCGCCATCACCACCATTTTCCTGGCGCTTCAGCTACGAATTCGCGTCGCCGTGTAGTGACGTTGCGCTGAAGCCCCGCCCCCGGGCGGCCCCCTTTCCCATTGGCTTAGCCCCTCGGACGTCACGGCCCGCCTTCTTGACGTTCGATTTCGCGACCGGAAGCACAGAAACGGCTCCCAGAGATGACGTCGTATTGAAGCGCCTCAACCAATCGACTTCGGAGCGGCGGAATCCCAATGAGCTGCTGTCTGGCTGGAGGGTTACCTTAGGGCAGAGGCGGCTCTGTGGACTCGAAGGGGCGAAATGGGAGTGAAGCTGGAGGTGTTTCGGGTCAGTGACACCGGAGTCGCGTGGGAGATTTGTCTGAGGAGTCTCCTGGATCGACGGACGGGGGTCGGGAAAGGAGGGACTCCGAGAGAGGGCGCTCCGAGGAACAAGCTCCTGGGATCTGAGAGGGGCGTCTGCGGTGGAGACACAGAGGGGGGGCCTTGGCTTAGGGGCACCCTGGGAGGGTCGGTGCGAGGGAGGCCTCCGGGACGGGTGATCTGGGGACACGATCCAAAAGGCTCGGGCCCCGTGGGAGCTCTCGGCTCAGGGTGGGTGTGTGTCTCTGAGAGGGAGACCTCTAGACGGTGTAACGAAATTTGAGGCCTTCTGAGTTGGGGGTACCCCGAGGGTCTGGTTTGGGGGGCAGGCAATAAGCTCCCAAAGAGCCCTTTGATGGTAGTCGGAGCTCTGTGCGCCCGGCCCATGTGTTCGTCTGTATCAGTCTGCTAGGCTTGGGGCGGGCTTTGGGAATAGGTCATTTGGATTGCAGGGGCCATAATGGCTTGATGGAAGTTCCAGCGTTCCTGGGGAGGCACGGAGGGCGAGCTCCTGGACTTTGCAGGAGGATGGTCCCTGGGCTCTGGCAACGCGTGCACGGTGGGGAGGATGGTAACCCCAGCTCTGCCCTTCCAGATGACACTCTATCTCACGTTCCCCGTGGCTATGTTCTGGGTTGCCAATCAGGCCGACTGGTTTGAGGACTATGTCATACAGCGCAAGGTGGGCACACGGAGTGTTCATGGTCGTTCTAGGGGGTGGAGAGGGTACAGGGCCAGCAGCAACCTGCTGGGGACCCACGTCTGCCTCCACACTCTAACCTGCCCCGGATGTGGGGCGATGGAGGCTTCTGGGTTAGGTCGCTAGCTGTGACTTTGTCCCCACAGAGGGAGCTGTGGCCACCTGAGAAGGAGGACCAGGTAAGCTACCAGCTCTTCCTCCATCTTCCTCAGCTTCGGCAGAGGAGCCCGCTGCTGGGAGCAGGTGAACATAGGGGCAGGGATGGGTTCACATGAAAATGACACCCCCCACCGTGGACAGGGAACTGAGTGCACAGGCACACGTGGCCCCCTTATTACCCTCTCCCTGAAGGGTGAAGCCGATTCCACTCAGACCCCGGTTGCAGTTGGCATAGGGCTCCCAGTGTGGACACTGGTCTCTGAAGCCATGGCCTGGAGGTGTCGAGGGGCAGGGTAGTGGGTGAAGGGGCCAGGCCCTGAGGTATGTGTGCCCCTCCTTCCTTCCCATCCCACTCCCCCCCCCCCAGCGCCAAGAGCTAGAAGAATTCAAAGAGCGGATACGGAAGCAACGGGAGGAGAAACTCCTTCGAGCTGCGCAGCAGAGCCCCTGAGGCCTCCGCGTCCTAGCCCTGCTACCCGTGAACTAATACACGCGCAGTTCCCGTTGCTGTGGGAGTGTTTTATTGTCTGCTTTCGGGGGCCACGCAGGACCCAAGACGGCTCAGGCCCTCAGGGGGCTTGTGTCTGGGGCTGGGGACTGCTGTTCCGGCGGAAGCTGAGAGCAGCCGGGTCCTGAGGAGTGAGGAGGGGTTGAGGGCTGAGGGTTCCAGGTCGTTTCTGTGCTCCATCCTGTGGATGAAGAGGAGTCAGCCAGGGGGCAGGATCGAGGCCAGTTTCCTCGCAGAGCGCAGAGACCACACGAACATCGGGAGTGGGGGGAGAGGGGGCGCAGTCGGCCCCCCGCGCCTGTCCCCCATCATCGGCCCACACCAGCCCCACAGTCTGTGTGCCCTGGCTACCGTGCATGCACAGTGGTGTTCGGGCGAGCGCTGGCGGGCCCCGGGGTCTGGCTGAAGCATGCATCAGAAGCCAAGCCACGGCGCATACATGAGACGCAGACATGTGAATGTAAGCAGACGCGTGTCCGCATGGGGTCACGCGCCCCTCCCTGGTGTCTTCCCCGAAGGGTGTCTGTTCTCCAGCCTCCCTCAGCAAACCTCTGCACACCCTGGATGTGGGAGCAGCAGCTGCAAGGTCCAGTCACTTCTCACAGTAACACGACCGCCCTGACCTTTGTCTCGCCCTCTGAGGGCAGAGGTTGGGTTGGCAGGGTCCTGCGACCGATGGGGACACAGCCGGCGCTCCTGCCGGGCACTGCCCCCTCCCCCCAGGGCAGACGCCGCCGACTTGGTCAGTGGGTTCCTGTGCTCTCCTGGCCGGAGGGGCAGGGGTAGCGGATTGGGCCCGGCTCGTGTCTCCCCAGCCGCAGCAGTGTCACCTACCTTGGGGCCCACAGGCTGGAAACCAGGCAGGCTGCTGACTGTCACACGCTGGTCGTCCATGCGGCGACCCTGGGTACTGGCCAGCATGTCCATGAGACTGTCCATCTCGGGTGCTGGGCCAGTCTCTGCGGAACAGGGATGTGTGGGGATGGACACAGAGGTCAGGGGCTTGGCCCGGCTGGACCCCTCGCCCGTCCTGCGCCCCAGGCTGCACGCGCACTTCCCCACACGCTACCCCGCTCACCCCCACCGCAGACAGCAGCCCCACCCCCACGCGCCGCCTGCCCGCTCACGGCTCTCGGAGGCCTGGCCCGGCTCTGCCCGCAGCAGGCAGCGCTGCTCCTCCATCCGGCCGCCCTGCACGTGGCTTAGCAGGTTGAAGAAGCCCTCCTGGTCTGGGGCGCCTGCCTGGGAGAGACACGCTTGGTCGTGCCGCCCCTCAGCTCAGCGACCGCTTACCTCTCTGGCTGCCGGCTCCCACCTCGCCGAGGGCTGTCCTCCCCCCCGCCCCCCCCCCGGCTCTTACCATGGTCCCCACCAATCTGCTCTGCAAAGCTGCTCCAGATGAGGCTCGAGGCTCCTCCCAGCCCAGCCCCACCCCAGGGCCCAGCCGAAGTCCCTGCTCACGTGGTGCCGCCTCAAGGGAGTGGCTGCCCGGCCAGCCCCGGCCAGCCTAGGTTGGGGCCTGGCTGGAGGGGGCCTGGGGACTGGGACACAACCCAGGGAAACGGGCCACCCCACATCCCACACGTCCCCCAACTCTGAGCTGAGCCCCGAGCCCCGACCCCCTGTTCTGGGGCTGCGACCAAGCACTCAGCCCCCTTTCACCTCAGCACCTCCTTGAGCTGCAACTGGGCCGGGGGTCCCAGGAGACCCACTCACTAATTAGGTGCCCTACAAACTAATTGGTCTTGTCACGTACAGGATCCGGAGGGCTTGGGTAGGGGAAGGCTGAGGGAGCAGGGCCTGCTTACCTTAAAGTGGGGGGCCAAGCCCCCACCCTCCACCTTTTCTTTCTGGTGTGTCATTGCCCCTGCTCCCTTTCGCCAGCCCCGGCCTCTTCTCTGCTGGCCTCTGTCCCAGCCCCGTGCCAGAGGCTTTCTAAGAGACCGGGCGGTGTGTGTGGTGGGGAGTCGGGAGCTGGGTAGGCAGAGAACCCCCCGCTCCAAATCCCCAGCTCACGCCCCATCTGCTCCCACCCAAGCTTAAGCCCCATAAAGATGATCCAGATAATTGTTTTTGCATCACGATGTCTGTTCTGTCACAAGGGTAGGAGGTAGGGTGACTCACGGGGCCCTGAGAACTCTCAGGTGGGGTACAGCAGCGGGCCAAAACAGCATCCACAGTGGGGAGGGTGACTGGGCCCATCGGGAGAGGACAGGTCAACAGGCCAGCTCGGGTGGACCAGTACCCACACCACTGACTGCACCCCCACCCCGCCTGCCGGGAAGGCAGGGAGGGGGATGGCCGAGACCCCAGCAGCCGGCCCAGCTCCGCTGCTGTCTCGCAGCAGCCGCTGCTCGCTGTCCCTGCGCCCCCCATGGCCCCGGGCCAGCCTCGCATCTCGGGTCTCCCTGCCACACGGCCAGGTGAGCCGTCAGCCGTCACTCCGGCCCTGCCGGGAGCTGGGGTTGGACCCTGGGGAGAGGCGGAGGAACACCTCTGCTCCCCTCGGATCTGCTCCCCCTCAGTAGCCTGTAGGGAGGCGCTGGGGGTCCAGCGCACACCCAAGATGCCTTTCTGGAAGCGGTTTCCTCTTGGCTGAGTGGGCCGCACTGTCACCGCCCTGGTCTACGAGCCAAGCTCGTCTCACACAGGCCTCCTGCACCCGGGGGCCACGTTCACCCCTTCTCTGTGGCCCCAAGTCCTGGATGCCAACATGATTTCCTGCCCCTTCCTGTGCTGATGATTCGTTTCCCAGGACTGCCCTGACCAGGAAACAGCCGCATTGCACAAAGGCCCAGGAGGTTACCTTCCTGCAGCTGGAGGCCAGAGTCTGAAATCCAGTTGTCAGTCCCACACTCTTCTGGCGCCTATGGAGAGCGTCCTTTCCTGCCCCTCCTGACCTCCAATGCCGGCAGTCACTGTGGCCCTTGGTTTGTTGCTCCAGTGCCTCGGTCTCTGCTCTTAGCGTGGCTTCACATGGCCGTCGTAGGCATGGGCCGACATGCCGGCACACTCCAGTCTGAACTAACTCCACCTGCGGCCACCCTGTTTCCAACGAAAGCAAATTGGAGCTGAGGATTTCATCCCATGGGACAGGGGCGGGGGTCGGGGTGTGTGCAGAGCGGAACGTGGGTAGCGCCTCAGCCCACAACAGTTGCAGGCCGTCACCCTCCCCAAGGAGAGTGGGGCCAGGCCAGCCATGTAAACCTTCACCACCAGGGGGCGGCTGAGAAACTCGGTGCTTCCAGCTTTCCTAACCCTTCCCCAAGGTCTCCCAGCCACACACCATCTTTGCCCCTGTGACCGCCCTTCCCCCAGAGCAACTGGGGCCTCCTTTCCCCAGCTCAGAGCCCTCCCTGGATCCCCACTGTTCACAGGAAAACCCCGCACCTGGGGGTAATAGGAATGTCCAATTGACAGGGTGCACAATCCCAGGGACGCTAGGATGGCACTGTCGCCAGCAGGTGAACTATTTGGTGGATGAGATGCTTCTCAGTAGAGCCGTGAGAGAAGGGAGGGGGAGGACCAAAAAAACTTACCTGGGATCACCGGCCATGGCGGATGGCCCAGGACGGTCCCGGTTGCAGTGCCGAAAGCCCTGCACCCAGCGCCGCTCAGCCAGGCAGATGAGCCCCTTGCGCCCAGAAGTCCAGCCCCTGAGCCCCCTGCTCTGGCCTCCCGCCCCTGCCGTCCCTCCCCAGAGCCCCTCCCTCCACTCCTCCAGGCTCATCTCTCTGCTGCTCCCTGGTGATGTCGGCATCAGTCTGAAGACCACTCCCTGAGGGAGCCCCTCTGGCACCCCCGCACCACGTGGCACTTGCTACACACCAGTTTACCTTCTCTGGGGCAGAACTGATCATTTCCTATCACCTTGAACCCCCCACCCCCCACAAACACACTTTAAGGGCCACATGGGCAGTCTTACCCACTGTTATCTTATCCAATAAGCTTTTACCAGAGCCAGATGGAGACGTCAGGGCTGAGGCACTTCGGGACTGTGCATTGGCCCACACGCATCACCCTCTGACCCGGGGCCGCGGGCTGCGCTGGACTGTGCCCACCGCCTGACGGCAGCTCCGCGCTGCGCTGGTCCCCAGCGAGCGAGTGTGGATGGAGGTGCGGGTGTGTGCACCACGACACACCCTGTGCGTGTATCGGCATGCGGATGAGACGGCGGGGCATGCCCCGTGATGCACCCCTGAACACAGGCCCTTACAAGCCTTGGCCCTGACTGCGCCTGTTTCAATCCCGGGACGCGCAACTTTCACTTGGCCCCGCTGTCAGCCTCGGGGAGGGCGGAGTCGGACTCGGCTCCCAGTCAGTGCTGGCAGCGCCAGGCCTCCTGGGGGCTCGTGGAGAGGTTCCCAAGCCCGCTGCTGCTGCTGCTGCTGCTGCTGCTGCTGCTGCGGCTAAGCGAGCCGCAGGTGTGCAGGCGGGTCGCGGGTCTGGGCCTCGCGGCCCCAGCACTC